GACATTTTTCATATATTTATATATTTAGTAGGTAAGAAAGGGAAAAGAAGGATTCAATATTATTAATTATAATATAAAAACGTTACTCCGTATAAAAGAAAATATTAAGACAATTAAACACATATAGTTTATAAAAAACCAGATCCACTGGGGTTTTCCTGATAATATTACTAAATTACAGCTAATTTTAAAAAATGTGACTACATTTACATTCGAACAAGTATGTGACTAAAATAATCTGACATCCGAATATTCATGTCACTACCCAATTTCCGTGTCACTTTCGAATGTCAATGTCGTTGTCACCATGTCACTTTCACCGCCATCCCCATGTCACTGGCGCCACCATCGCCACCGGTCACCGCCGCCATCACAGTGACCACCACAGTTACACCACCAAAGTGTCACCGCCTCAGTGACCGCGCCAAAGTGACACCACCAAAGTGACACCGCCTCACTGACCTCGCCGAACAGCCGGTGACCACTGCCATCGTGCCGGTGACTGCCGCCGTCCGGCCGATGACAACCGTCTCCCATCCCCCATCACGGTCCCTACCCCTGCCAGCGGTTAACCCCTACCCCAACCGCAGCTCAACCATAGCCCACCCCAATAAACCGTAGCGAGAAACCCAAACCGCCCGAGATCGGATCTGGAAAGTTAGTCGCGCGCCTACACCGCCGTGACCGTTGCCACAGCCATGCCTCCTCCCCCTCCCCACCCCCTACCAGCTCAGATCCAATCCAGCCCCCTCCTCAGCCGCCCCCAGCCCCTGAATCACCGCATACCCACCCCACACCCCATCCCAGCCGCCGCACACCACTGCAACACCCTGGACGCCAATCTGAATCTCAGTCAGTCGATGGAATCGTGGTCTTCAATCGATGCCGCCTGTCGACTACCAGACACAACCCTACCCCCAATCGATGTCCAACGCCACCAGAAATTGAGGATATCCATTCGTAATTGACATCATCATTGCCCGACGTCAGTTCTCCACCATCGCCAGTGTGCCGCCATCGCTAGGCTGCAGCCATCGCAGGTCCTTAGATCCTTCGAAGAAGATGAGGAAGAAGAAAATAAAAATGCGACGCACCTGCGATGTGGAGATGAAGACGACACAAAGATGCGGCGGTGAGGAGAAGTCGGCGGCACGGAAGAAGGTGACGACATGAAGATGGTTGGTTGCAGCTGGATGAAGAAGGGGGTGGTTGTATTGCGTAAGAAAGGAAAGGGAAAGGGAGCACAAGTAGGTTGCATGCGTGCAGGGCTCGGTCACTTTTTTGTCCAAATGGGTTTATGGTCATATTTTTGTCAATACAAAAGTCATTACTGATATTTTTGACATTATTCCACTTATATTCCCAAATATACATACTTCGTCCATACAAATATGCACCAACCAAATACACAATTCCTTTTAATTGGAAATCTTAAGGGGCGTCCCCAATTTGGTTTCTGGAGGATTCTAATGGAGTTTAGAATTCCGTCAGAATTCAGGTGTCCCCGATTTGGATTTCTGTGTAATTCATGAAAATAAGGGTGTCGTCAAACATTCCGTGGATTTATTTGCACGGATTTTAATGGATTTAGATGGAATCTATATACAAAAACAATCCACCACAATCTTGTAGACTCCCCTCAGATTTCAAAAAACATGATCTTTTAAAATCCATCTTGACACCCCCTAAAGTTCCGGCCCAAAATCCTCAGCACAGTCGGCAATGTTGACCATCGTCTTCATCTACCAAATACCAAATGACCAAATCGTATGCTGCTGCCATGGATTACCATTGATCACCACACTTATTCATCAGACTTCATGCAAGCATACAATCGATGATCGGTTATCGTATTACACGATTCCCATTGAGTGCAAACAATCTGAGCAATTCAATTCATTCAATAAGATACAAAATCCTATACAGATAAGTGTTTTCATTTTTTTTAATTTTTACTTGAATTCCATGTATTTAGTTTATTTAAAGTGTGGGTTTTGTAGTTTTCTTAGTTTTCTTCGGGTACTCTTTTAAATTTTCTATCGTGTATATTATATTAGTACCTCTTTATCACAAGCCTTTGATTTCACCTTTGTAGCTTCTAAGTAATGTCCTTCACCAAACTAAAAATTGCATACATCATCAAAGCAAAAAAAATACAACAATTATATTCTAAGGCTTATTCATCTATACCGTCATAGAGAAAAGGATGATCACAATCTTTGCTGCGGTAGAAGTGTTGGAGTTGTGTTTATAGGAGAATGTTTTATGGCATAATATGAAACGCCACTTATTTGCTGGAAGCATTAAAAGTCTATGTGTTGAACAACATGATGCACATTTGCACGCGGGTTTTTTGAGAAGCGCAGAGACTGGATTAATTATTGTGAGTTGTAATTATTATTCTGCCATCTGCACCCCATCCCCTACGTTATTAGTTTATAATGTACACTTCTTTAATTTGAGAAGTTCAATAGTTGCATTTAATTCTTCTATGCTGCAATTATTAGCTACCCATACCCCCACTGCATTTTTATGCTACGCTTTTCCCGCCCATTCTCCGTAATAAATATCTCCGCAAAGTACTACAATGTTCCCGCCCAAAATTTTCTCCCACTACTTTGTTTTTATATAGTATATAGATATAGATGTTGTTAGTAGTCTCTTCTCAAATCAACGAAGTGATCTTATTCAAAGTGATACATTACTATTTCATTATTATTAATATATTTTCCCATTAAGTTATTGGTAATAAATAATCGATAATTTCAACCATATTCTTCTTCCCTTCTATGGAGGCACCGTCTCCTTAGAGCCATCGCCACAAAGTGGGCGATTGTTGGGGGGGTTGAAGTTTAGAAACTTGAGATGTTTCTCTGGTGCTACACGAGGCTAGATGACTTGGTCGAGTTGTATAGAGATGATTGATTTTTTATATGTTATCACATTTGCTTTATTTCTTTCATGTTGTTACTTCTTATATGTTTTTTAGAGTCAATGATATCTGTGGTTTAGTTATGTGAGATTGTAAGGTAAGTAATTGGTCAAGTTTAGCAAGAAGTAGTAGAAGAGATTGAGGCCCATTTACATGGTTAATAGACTAATAGTGGCATGACTTATTTTTGTGTGACTAGAGTCAATAGACATTTATGTGTCTTGAAGTAGAACTAGTTTTGTATACGTGCGTTGCGCGAAAGGATAAATGCCCAAAGCTATATACATATATTACATTACACTTAAAGAGAGTTAGCTTTAAATTTTGATATATAAAGAACTTGATAAAAGATTTCAAATGATATCAAGAGTGAGAACCTTGTATTTTGATATATCTTCAATTTGTTCTAGATTGAAGTCTTGAATTTTTATCCAGTAAGGAAATACAAATACACACTAATGCAATGCATGAAAAATAGATGTTATGGCGGCAGATCGAATTAAGTGTTAAGAAGTACCAGCAACATAAAATATAATAAGTTATTTATTTTGAGCCCGTTTGGTAACGCGAAAATCGGCCGATTCAGCTCATTCTGTTGAAATTTATGAAATTTTGGTTGAAATGGCTGTATTGGCTGATTCTGCTGATTTAAGAAAAAAAAAATTTAAATATATTTTATTAATAAAATAATAAAAAAAGTATATGTAAAAATAGCTAAAATGATCATCTACAGTAACTTCAGCCAATACAGCCAGAAAAGTAACTCAATCCTTACTTTTTCTTATTATTACACAATTCAGCGCGCGAAAACAAAAGTTGCGTGTTTGGTGAAAAACTTGTCTGATAAGCCCGATAAGTCGAAAAGCAGTGTTACCAAACGGTCTCTTACTCATATACAAATGAAAGATAAATAAAAGAATTCTCATTCATAAACATTCACATTTCCTACCAACAATGACTTTACAATCTGAATCAGGATTTATCTCAGACATTCCCTTTCGTGCAGTCTACTTCTTTGTATACGTCAGATTGGGGTCAGGATAAGCACCACAAAAGTCCTCCCAATAAGGTCAAGTAATGTAGAAAATCGGACAAGAAAATAAAAAATTTATCAGGAAACACATTGAATAAGATATTTCATAATAATATTTTTAGAGTAATCCATAATGGCACACATTACATGAGCTAAATCATTATTTCCACTCCCTCACTTTCATTTTCTGCAAACTCATAACAGAAGGCTCAAATAAAGTCTAAGTTTATAAATACACATAATGAAATAAGATGTGAAGTAATACTTCTGGATAGCCGCATAAAATTACGGGGCGTTACCATTTCTTTCTAGAGAAAGTTTTTCCAATGCTTTCAAACCATAATTAGTACAGTAACAACACCCTAGAATATGAATCATTAAAAGAAAAAAACTATCCTAGAAAGAATTATAACATTCGCAACAAAAAAATAGTATTCTTGATACAACTCAAAAAATCAAGAGCAGTGATGAAAATAACATGCCTAACCCAGGAGTGTGTTTGAAATGTTAGCTTATTTTTATGAAAGTTTCAAGAATTGACCAGTCTCACTAAAAAGAGAGTCACATACAAATATGATGTGTATACAACAGAGACAATTTTTTTTTATCATTTTAATAAACACTTATTACTACTTAGTATACCTATGAAAACTTTAGTTCACAGGGATAAGTTATATAGCAAGAGGGCTTTCATAAATATGCTTGAAAACTATTGTGTTAAAGAATATATAGTTACAACAACTACAATAACTAAGCCTTCTTCTGAAACTATTGTGTTAAACTGTTAAAGAATATATAGTTAAATATAGGGAAAAATGAATTTAATTATCTTGATATGTATTCTTATGGTCTGTTTGGATTGAGTGTTGGGAAGGGTTAGTAATGGAAGTGTTACTAATTGTTAGCAGGGCCCCGGAAAGGACGGTAAGTGTAAGTGTAATTGTGTAAAACATAAACCTACCTTGTTTGGAAGACTTGAAAAATGAAGTGTTAATAACAGAAGTGTTTTCAATTAAATTGACAATGATGCCTTCATTCCTAAAAGTAATATAACCTGATTCATACATATCAAAACTTTTTTAGCATCATTCCTTCATTCCAATTCCATATGACCTGATTCGTACATATATACATATAAATATATATTTTTGGTGTTAGAAATGAACTTATGTATTACTGTGATATAAAAGACCAGAAAATTGAAATGTAGAAAATACATAAAAACACAAACAAAATGTTTTAGCTTGGGAGTGCACCAGCACCAAAGCCTCTGGCACCACGTCCAAAGCCAGGCCTCCCAAATCCACCACCGCTATTGTGAAGGCTGGCCAGCTCCTCCCTTCTCACCGCCAAAATATCCAGGTTGACCTCTACGGCCTCCCCGGCACCCATCCCTGTCTCTGCTCTATCCATCGGCAACTCTAGATGGTCCACGAGGTTGGTCGCATGGAGGACCCATGGGCCTGCAAAGGGATTTGGCATTTAGCAGGGACAATCTCAGATGGAAAGTTTGGCATTTGAGGAACACAAAACAGCTTTAATTCCATAGAACACAAAACAGCTTCAACAATTCTATTTTAAAAATGCATAAATCAAAAATTGAACCTACGGAACTTGTCGTTTCAATTTGAAGGAGCCTCCTTTGCCCAGATGAAATTCGAAATTGAGATTTGAGAAGTTTGGTTGTGTAATCTATGAAGAATACCTAGCTACACAGAGGAGTATCAAATTAAATGACGAATGAGAAGATCAGGCTAGCGGCGGGCTTGCTTCTGAGAAGTGCGAAATGGGCGAGTAGAGCTGGCTAACCTAATCGATGTGGTGAGATGAGTGGCACGGTGTGGAATTGAAAGGGCATAATCTAGATTGAATTGAGGAGAGGTTTTAACAACGACGGCAATAGATAGACGTTTACTCATGAGCAAAGTAGAATACAGTACACTCACTCAAGCACACAGTACATGCTTATTAAGCTATGATGTACCACCAACAAATTTTTGATACCTAAAATATCCTTACCTTGATTCATACTTCTAATTTTGTAGAGATATATCTAGGGTACTTCTAAATGCACTCATTCTTTTACTATACACAGCCCCGGTCACTTCCGAAAAAATAATATTTTGTATAATACCTATTTTATCCTTTGATTCTTTTTGGAACTCCGTCCGTCGTGTAGCCTGTAAGTCAAAATGGCGCACCATATGCAGAGACTCCATAGATACATCTAGCATTCCAACCAAGAAGGAGTGAGTGAGGGAACTCATTTTCACCTTTCCCCTTCTTCTATTCTAATCTAATGTCTTCATTGCACCGAGCTCGAAGCCAACCTTTTATCCCAAAGCAAAAGAGATCCCGATAGATGGAGAGGGAATAGCGGACACCGATCAATTGCTAGTGAAGAGCACGGGACTGGAGACTTGCAAACACTATGAGATGTGGATCTTAAGCTTCTTGCTTTGACATACATGCTGGAGGCTCAAAATCATGGAACTACACTGCTACACTTTCAGGGACTTCTCACCTCTAGTCCACAAAGTCAAGATACTTGGTTGAATTGAAGGAGATAATGATTAAAGGCAAGAAGATGGTGGCCGAAAAGAATGGTTATGGAATCAGATCTCAGAAAATACTTGGAGAAATGGGACAAACTTGCTGGCCGACGTACAAAGTGATGGACGTGTTGCAGAAGATATTTTACCGTCGAATCCGGTGAGGGAGACGCTCGTGGAGTTGTACACCGACGGGTATGTACAAGAAGGTGGCGCCGGGAAACTCCATTGAAGACTTGAAGCTTGATGTAAATACTATTGGGAGTTTGGTCAGGACTCTACTTAAAACGATCACAGAGTATATGATTTTGTTGGTTTGCGGCTCTACTTAAAACAACTGGAGATTATTGTTGCAACGGAAGGAGTGTAATACTTCCTCCGTCCCCCAATTAAGTTCCAAGTTTGACTTAACACGTATTAAGAAAATAAATTTGACATTACTGTGGAGTGCACTGTTTTGCATTGTTCAAACACTGTTTGATATCGTTTGGCACTGTTTTGATGTAGATAATTTGCCAAATAAGGAAAGTAAAGAAGTGTGAACTTAATTTAGGGACTGCTCAAAAAAGAAAGTGGTAACTTAATTAGGGGACGGAGGGAGTATATTTTAAGGGTAAAATATATATTTGGAATAATTTTATTTATTTTAATTTAATTTGATGGCTCTGATTAGCAAATTCAGGGTTGTGTATAGAATTACCCTATATCTATGTTGTTGTGCCCGAGTTCCAATGATTGTAAGTGTTGGTTTAACTATTTACAAAATATAATCATATTCCGTAAAAGCGTTCATAAACTTCAAAGATTGTACATCATGATCAATTTTTTTGTTTAATTATTAGATTGGTTGCAATTCAAGGGGTAACAAATGAATATACCTAAATTAGGTCAATCTTATGTGAAAAATGGTACTCATAAAAAATGATGATGAAAATGATGATCAAAGCGTAAACTCACACTGAACTAGTGTTTTAATGTTGCATTCATCATTGATTTATTGTGTGTGCGTTACATAGTGTAAAGAGTTGCACTTAAACTCTTACGAGGAAGAGAACGACGAATGTTTGACTTCTTATTTGTTGAAATTTGTTATGTAAATTCACAAATAATGTTTTATACATAGTATCTTGAAAAAAAGTATCTTCAAAAAAATATCACATTTTTATTACTCTCTCCGTTCTCCAATACTTGTATCTCTTTTTATTTTGGGACGTTCTCCAATACATGTTTCTCTTTCCATTTTTAGAAAGTTTTTCAATAAACTTACCCTCATTCTCTTTCCTACCTTTTTATTCGCTTTGCTACCTTTTCATTTAAACATAACTTACTACACCTTTTATCGTACCTCTATTAATTTCATCTTAAAACTTGTGCCAAAGGGTATAAAACCATCTATTGGAGAATGGAGTGAGTATAAAAGATTAGTTATTTAAAATAAAAGAAATAATTGCTAAGCAAATGAAAAGAAATTAAATCTGAACTATGAGGAAAGGGTAATTCTATTCACATCCCTTAAATTGCTATTGACATTCACTTAATTAATTAAAAATAAATAAATTTATTCAAATGCCTAGATTATCCCTAGTAGCCTTGCTAAATTATTCTTCTCTTCGATCACCTTCGGAGATGTCTTTAACATAAACTAAATTGGCATAGTGATCAGATAGATTGATGCCGATGAAGCTCCCAATAAAATGTAATTAGTTGTACTCCAATCAATAGTGCAGCAACCCGCGTCGCTAATTGGATGATACGGTGGGCAAGGCTTAACCAGGATGGGAGTTTGGGGGGCAGTTCGAGGGTAATGGCGATTTCCGGTTAGGCTGATCACATGATTAGCGTCCCAGGCGGCTGTGCGGTCAGACAATGGGCAGCCTCAGGCGGCTGGTGGAGGCGACGGACAGGGCCACTGACATAGCAGGGAGCCGATGAACAGCAAGGCGGAGTAAAACTCAAAGGGTGAAAACTAGAGAATGATTTTTTTATATTAAGAGGCCGTTTGGCGACCCTCATTTTCGGCTTATCGGGCTTATCAGCCAACTTTTTTACCAAACACGTAAATTTTACTTTCGCGCGCTGAATTGTGTAATAAGCCGAAAAAGTAAGGTTGGAGTTACTTTTCTGACTGTATTGGCTGAAGTTACTGTAGATGACCATTTTAGCTATTTTTACATATAATTTTTTCTTTATTTTATTAATAAAATATATTTTAAAAATATTTTTTTCTTGTATCGGCAGAATCAGCTCACTTCAGCCAGAACTTCATAAATTTCAGCAGAATCAACCAGAACAGCCGATTTTCATGCTGCCAAACGGGCTCTAAATTCATTAAATCCACTTTACTATGACACAATTATATGAAGCAATGTGCGACTCCATTCAGGAAGTAGTATTTTGTTTCCCAGACATTAAAAAGACATTTACTTCAATTTTTATACTTTGTATTTGTTTCCTAAATGTTCTTTTGATGAGAAGATGCTTGCAAAGCAGACTAATATAGTAATATGTTAATCTTTGTGAGTTCTTGGATGGTAGGTTAATTGACTTAATTCATTGTTTCTGGTCCGAATCGAAGCAAATCTGGACGGACTTGACTTGCTCCATCTTGATAGCTTCGTGCCTTCGCCTCCCTCGTTCTTCCTATTGGTTGGTATGTAAAACAAGCTTGATAGACATGAGAATTTAAAAGGGGTAAAATAGATACTCTAAGAGCCCATTTGGTAGCACGAAAATCGGCTGATTTGGCTGATTCTGCTGAAATTTATGAAGTTCTGGCTGGAGTGGCTGCATTGGCTGATTCTGCTGATTTAAGAAAAAAATATTTTTAAAATATATTTTATTAATAAAATAAGAAAAAATTATATGTAAAAATAGTTAAATGGTCATCTAGAGTAACTTCAGCCAATACAGTCAGAAAAGTAACTTCAACCTTACTTTTTCTGCTTATTACATAATTCAGCGCGTGAAAACAAAAGTTACGTGTTTGATGAAAAAGTTGGCTGATAAGCTCGATAAGCCGAAAAACGATGTCACCAAATGGCCTCTAAATTGTTTTATTTATTTACTTAAATTTGTGGCTGTATTTAGAAATTATTATGTGGCGGTATATAGAATTAGGAAATTGTGTGGTAATTGGGCCGGACTTTGGAGTCTGGATGCAATAAATGAAGAAGAGCCGGTTGGGCGTGAGTCTTTTCTGGCCCACTAATACCTCCTTCCTTTCCCCGACTTCACACCTTTGAATCGTTGATGCGAGCAGCCTGACGAGAAAGGAAAACGGAACAATACCCTGCCGGTACGGCCATCGGAGGAGTGCTCTGCGGACCAATGAGTGGGAAAGCCCGAAATTTCCGCCGCCGTGGTGGAGAGGACGAAGACGAAGCTGAAACGTCTGCAGTTTCCGCGCCGAATGGCAACTTGGCTAAGTCGCAAGCCAAACCTGTCGCCAGCTTCGGCAAGCCGAAAAAGTCTTCAACCTTAGCTCCGAAGAGCCTACTTAGCTTTGCGGATGACGAAGAGTCCGAGGATTCTCCTTTCAGTCGGCCTTCCAGATCCTCCTCATCAAGCTCTCGCCCCGTCAAGGCCTCCTCTTCTCACAAGCTGTCAACAGTGAAAGGAAGACATCCTACTGCCCCTTCTCTCCCATCCAATGTGCAGCCCCAAGCTGGTACGTACACTAAAGAAGCTCTCCTTGAGCTCCAGAAGAATACCAGAACCCTAGCTGGCTCCCGCCCTACTCAACCTAAACCCAAACCCGAGTCAGCCGAGCCTGTAATTGTATTGAAGGGGCTTGTTAAGCCATCTATTACTGTTGACCCGGTGTTGGAGAAAGAACATGATAGTGAAGAAGATGATGGGATGGTTGAGAGACGGGGCCTCTCTCTGCGACAGGATAGAGATGATACATTGAACAGACTTGGTTCTATGGGGTTGGAAAAGGGCTTGATGGGAACTGATGATGTTGGGTCAGAGATACCAGACCAGGCAATGATAGATGCAATAAGGGCAAAACGGGAGAGGCTCAGGCAAGCTAGAGCAGCTGCCCCAGACTACATTGCATTAGATGGAGGGAGCAATCATGGGGAAGCAGAGGGTTTGAGTGACGAGGAGCCTGAGTTTCAAGGGAGAATTGGGTTCCTTGGGGAGAAAGTTGAGCAGGGAAAGAGAGGAGTCTTTGAGGATTTTGAGGTTAGGGGGTCAGAGAGGGTTGTTGCTGTTGATTGCGTGTATGATGAGGATGAAGAGGATAAAATGTGGGAAGAAGAGCAGGTGAGGAAGGCCCTGGGGAAGAGGATGGATGATTGTTCTAGTAGAGGAGTTAGTGGTAGTGATGGGGGTGTCAGTAATAACCCTGTGGCTCCTAGTGTTCAGCAGACTAGGTATGGACATTCAGCTTCTGGAGCTAGTGTGTATTCCTCAGGGCAGACTGTTGTTCCTCCTGTTGTTAGTTCTAGTATTCCAGGAAGCCTCCCTGGATCAGATGCTCTCTCAATTTCACAACAAGCCGAGCTTTCCAAGAAATCATTGCTTGCTAATGTGTCTAGGCTTCAGGTATTCTGGATTTACCTAAACTGCTTTTGTTTTAATTTGTACATATATTTTGGGACAAAACATTCTTCCTTCAGCTGAATAAAAATTTCTGACATTCCGTAAGCACTGAAATAAGATCTGCTCATGGAAAATCAGGTTGTCTTTCCTTCGAAGCCTACCAATGTTATAGCAACATTCTCTATGAGGCTTTAATTCTTGAAGCAGTATCTTGTTTTTAACCAATACATTGTTTCAAATGCTATTTACTCATGAAGTGATCCGTGCAACTCTTGACCTAGAGTGAAATTATACAATGTCACTTGAAACTAAGCAATATTCACTTCACACGAGTAATGTTTTCCTCTTTCTCTGTGAATTTAGTCACTTTTTATACACACACTGCTGTTCTCCTTTTACACTGGAAGTGTGTTGAGTATAATTATTGTTTAGATCTACTTACTCTAGACTAGATAAACACTGTCCACAGAGAAACGCAAGTATTTAACAATGCATACTAAATGTTTTTTATGTACAACATGTGGCTACTCAACTTAGATTTTAGATTGAAAATATATGTCTTAGTGCTGATGTGCTTAAACGTTTCCTTATAACATCTGAGTCACCATCTACTTGACAATTTCATTTCCCGTATAACAAAGATATTGAGCATAAAGGTTCCCTTCGTGATAAACTCTGCCTTTTCGGATTTCCTTGGTCAGGAATCTCATTGCCGCACTGTGAAATCATTGGCTAAGACTGAAGAAAATTTGTCTTCATCGTTGTCCAATTTGACCTCATTGGAAAGTTCTTTATCTGCTGCTGGTGAAAAGTACATCTTTATGCAAAACCTTCGTGACTTTGTTTCTGTTATATGTTCATTTTTGCAGGTATGGTCTATTGATACTTTGACTTACATATTTCTAAATCTTATTCTTATTCACTGAATCTCATTTTACAACAGATAGCACGGTGTTATTTTTTTTGAGTGAATTACATGTTATTTATTCGCCTCACATCTAGTGCTTATTTTTGTGTGAATCATGGAATCACGAGGACTGTTTTAGTTTGTATTTTTTTAGAATAATCTGGAATACTGTAGGTCTATTGTTGCATGGAAGTAAAGAGATGTAGTGCATGTACCATGCTCTAAATCTCTAATCCTTCAGGAATGCAGTAGGGCAAATGAATCACCCCATGCACTGAAGTAGCTAGAAATTAGGTCATTAGATATCCAAAACGAAGGAATTTGGCACCTCTTAGAACCATACTGAACCTTGCCTGATTAAGGTTGGGAAGCAACTCGAAATGAGGAACATGAATCCAATTTAATCACCCTGTCACATAAATTTTTATCAAAGCCATATAAAATCTGATTGATTTTTTTACCCATGGTAGGAGAAAGCTCCTTACATAGAGGAACTAGAAGACCAGATGCAGAAACTTCATAAAGCACGGGCGGATGCAATTTTAGATAGAAGAGCTTCCGATAATGAGGATGAAATGAGAGAACTAGAAAATGCTATTAATGCAGCAAAGCAAATTTTTGGTGAACGTGGTGGCAGTGCAGCCACAATAGTTGTTGCAAAAGAAGCTGCACTCAAAGCAGCTACAGAGGCAAGAAGGCTAAGAGATATACCTGTAAAGCTAGATGAATTCGGTAGAGATGTGAATCAACAGAAACGGATGGATATGACAAGAAGAGAAAAGGCTCGAGAGCGTAGGAGAGCTAAATCTGATGCTAAAAGAATGTCTGCCATTAGAAATGACAATTCCTATCAGCGAGTGGAAGGAGAATCAAGCACTGATGAAAGTGACAGTGAGAGTACTGCCTACAAATCAAACCGTGATCAGTTGCTTCAGGTTGCTGAAGAGATATTTGGTGACACACATGATGAATACTCTCAATTAGCTGTAGTTGTTAATAAGTTTGAGAGATGGAAGAAACAGTATTCTTCAAGCTACCGCGATGCCTATATGTCTCTGAGCATTCCTGCCATTCTTTCACCCTATGTTAGATTAGAACTTTTGAAATGGGACCCTCTGCATGAAGATGTAGACTTTAGGGATATGGAATGGTACGTCTCTCGATCTCATAGAAATTGATTAACTGTGGTCCTTACAGGGTAGTTTTTGTAGTATTAGAAATCATAATGCATCTTCTGACAAGTACACAGGAACAAGCATCACAGTGCCTCTAATTCTAACATGATTGAAGTGTCTGTACTAGTGTACTCTGTAGATCAAAGGAAAGTAATTACTCATAAAGTAATATTAATAAATTCAAAATAGAAGCGGAAATAAGTTTTAAATGTTTTAGGTATTTCTTAAGTTATGTTTTTACTTGGAGTCTAATCCTATAGTTCTAGAATCTAGATTTATGTAAGTGGTGACAATGATGAAATACTTTCTTGGACTAATCTTTCCCTCATAATCAATCTTCTCATATCCTGAACGATGGTGATAACTAATTGTACAAATAAGTTTTTAACGTTTTAGGCATTTCTTTTGTTATACTTCTACTTGGAGTCTGATCCTATAGTTCTAGATGTATGTAAGTGTCAATATTGATAAAATACTTTTGGACATTTTTTTGACCTCATAGTTAATTAGTCCTATCATAGCCTGAACCATTGTGATAAGAAATTGTTTTATTACCTCATTATAGTTAATTATAGGCATATCTATTTATGTTGGTAGTGTAAGATTAAAATATTATATATTCTATTGCAAAATAGAGTATAAGCGTCCAAACTCTGATTTGTCATGTTATTTATCATGCAATTCAAAAATCCTTTGATGATGACAATTTTGGAATTTCATTTCTTTTTTCCTTCTCGTGTCAAAGTTTAAGACTTTCCGACTGTTATTTCCACTAATTTTGATGATTAGTTGGCATAATAAATCTCATGCCATTGACCCTAATGTAGCCAGGGTTAGAGACTTAGAGTATACTCGTGTTATAATCAGTTCATTTGCCTTTTTTCATCCTCTATTATAATGTTTCCATGCCTGCATCTGCTCCCATGTTTGTGAATAATGAATATGACCTAATATCTTTCGTGTCCAACCGTAGAATGTCCCATAAACTTCTGTGTTTCTTAGGTAAATATTTGAGCTTAAACTCAACCTTTTATATGGTATGTCACGAGTTTTGTTTGTCTCCAGGCATTCATTACTCTACAACTATGGACTTCCTAACGTTGATAGTGATATTAGATCTGATGATGCTGACGCTGACACAAACCTCATTCCTCAACTAGTGGAAAAGCTTGCAATTCCTGTCCTTCACTATCATTTAGAATACTGTTGGGACATGCTTAGCACTCGTGAAACTGAATATGCTGTGTCTGCCATGAAATTGGTGTTTGGATATGTTCCCCTGACTAGTTCTGCTCTGGGCAATTTGGTTGCTGTTTTGCGCAATCGGCTTGCTGATGCTGTGGCTAATTTAGTGGTATCTTTTCAATTCCCTAGCTAAAGTCTTAACATGCTTGTTTAATGCTGAGCTTTTCCAATTGATGTGTTTATGCATACTTTTATAGGTTCCCAAATGGGACAATCTTGTAATGAAGGCTGTACCAAATGCAGCTCGTGTTGCAGCATATGGGTTCGGCATGTCTGTCCGTTTGATAAGGAATATTTGCTTGTGGAATAATGTTCTTGCAATTCCTATCTTGGAGAAGCTTGCTCTTGATGAGCTCTTAAGTGCAAAGGTTCTTCCCCATCTTCGCAGCATTAGATCAGACATTGATGATGCAATTACAAGAACTGAAAGAATTGTTGCTTCATTGTATGGTGTCTGGGCTGGTCCAAATGTTAATGGTGGTAAAAGGTATTGTTTATTTATGTACTCCATACTTCAACAGTCACACTATTTCTTCTTTCATAAGCATTAAAATGCCAGGTTCCATTGCACTTCACTGTGAATCAACCATACTATAAGGGTGTAATATTTCTGTCTTAGGATAGAGATGGAGAACTTGTTGTGCATAGAAATAGTTTCCAGGGATGATAGCTGCAGCCTGCAGGCTGGAGCTGACTGCTTCCTGAAACCTTAATGGAGTGGGTTTATGATGCCTGCACCTCAAGTTGCGTATTTGAGTCTAAGTTTGTGATTTGATACTAAGTTTATTAATTTGTCAATTACTTGAAGTTAAATCTCTTTTTCTTCTAGCAATTCATAATTAAAGTATTTCAAGATTGGTCTGCTTCAACCGACCACCATCTTGGCATCTTGCATACATACAAATCCACCCCATTCGTCCCTTAGGTAGTTGATGTCTATTTTAAACCTTTATGTTTTTGTTATGTTTAAACCTTATGTTTACACTTGAGTATTTGTGTGATATGTGTACATTGGATGTATCATGTACGAAGTATGTATAATGTAATGGCCATAACTTTGACAATTTATTTTCATAATTTGAATTTTGAATATTTTTATGTAACTGAAAGTGAAATGTGTTCATTTTACGAGGATAATACTTTTTTAAGGAACCGAAAAATGGTAAGAACCGAACCGAATTTAACTAGAATCAAACCAAACCCCAGGCTTATGCAATGGTATTATTTGCCCCACTTTTAAAATAAGTAATACACCAATGCCGAATACTCTATAAAGACCCTGGAAAAAATTCAGATTGTCCCTGGACTTTTTGTACAAACTCATTTATCCCATAAACTAACCAATGTCATTATAGGTCATTTACTCATTTTCAATCTCACACACATTCTCTCCCCCCTCCCTCAATCTGGCATGATTGTTTATAATAATCACTGTTTTCTCTGTTTACTTGTATGTAGCCCCAAATTGCAACCACTGGTCGATTATTTGCTAATACTGAGTAAAATGCTGGAGAAGAAGCATTTGGTGACTGGAGCTGAGCAGGAGACTGGAAAGCATGCTCGTAGGCTGAAGAAGATGCTTGTTGAACTTAATGAGTATGATCATGCGAGGGAAATTTCAAGAACATTTAATATCAAAGAGGCATTATGATATGCCCTTTCCCTACAGGTTCAAATTTTCTTTACCTTTCTTTTCCAAAGAGGGCTCCACCTTGAAGAGTAGTGCAGTAATTGAACATTGATTGATGAGTTGGTGTAGTTGCTTCTATCATTGATCTAAAACCCTTTAGTTTCCTTCTAGTCATCAGTTTTAAAAAAACTAAAGCAGCTGAAAACCTGGAAATGTGGTTATCAGTTTTTGTGTTAACAATTAGCGCGTTAAGTACAGAACTACAAATATGGTTAGTTTTGGGTTAGGGGGAATTGGAGTTTGTACCCCACTTGGTTTGTCTAAATTTGAGTTTGCACTCAATTATGGAAATCGCTAGTATTTGCACCCATGCTTGTCACGGCGTCGCCTAGTCGTCGACTAGGCGTCCTGGCGATGGAGAAGGGTCGACAGGGGAGATTGACTCGCCGGAAGAAGGCTAGTCGCCTCTGGCGTCGTCCAGGCGTGAATATGTCGTCCAGGCGCAGTCTTGGCGTCACGCCAGGGGAGATTTGAAATCTCAATAAATTCGTTTTTTTAAGCCCAACCTAAAAGAACAATCGTCGACTCTCAACCTCGAAGCTCAATCGACGATTCCTAAAGGCGGAGCATCGCTCGTCGTTACTTTTCTGATTTGTGCCTCTGTAGCAAGGTCGTCTGTAGGCGATCTGTAGTTGATGTGTTCCTGCGTCACTAGGTTGAAGACGACGTGCGCTCTTCCCAGCCTTTTATTTTTATCGGTCATTCATCTTATCACGTTAGTCTTTATCAGACTTCTTATTCTATTATATATTGATATTAAACATTAATATTAATACTTCGTACCCACTCAGTAGCATATCCACTACAGTTTTACATAGTTTAATTTTAATATAATATATGTATATTTTCGTACACACTATACAACATGCATAGATACATACTACAATATATATTAGCAATGAATATAACTTGTATATTAATAAATTAGATATATAATAAATTAATAAATTGGGTATATTAATATTGAAATTAATAATTTGCATATTAATCAATTAGGTATACTAATATATTAATAAATTATTAGGCAATATACAATTGCATTCTTAATATATCATATATAACATGTAATTAAACTACAAATTAAATAGAATGTTGTATTGTTATGTATAAAATATAATTATGTATATTGTGCGACAAGTCGCCTAATTGTCGCCTAGGCGGGCGCGTTGTCGCCTAGGCGATATGGCGGTCGGCTGGCGCCGCGACTCGCCTTACCGCCGTGACAAGTATGTTTGCACCATAAGTATCTTGATTTTCATTCCTTTGTCACTCCCCATGATTAAAAATGGGGTATAAGTTTAAATTAGTGGGGTGCAAATTTTGATTTGGTTTTTGTTTTTCCCCACATATCACGTATAGTGGGGTAGGGGGGGGGTCGGATGTACACAGTCTTACCCCTATACTAAAACACAAAGAGACCGTTTTCGGATCACCCATAGTAACTTGGAAAATCATACAACCAAAAAATTTATAGGTTAAAATTTTACATGTTAAATCATACAACCAAATAACATCAAAACACACTAATTTTATCGGTTAAATTTTTAAGTATTTATTCAGTGATTAAGACATTCAGCCCCATTATGGTTATCAAAAAATGCTCATTCTAGTCCTCCAAGTACAGAGTATTATTTAATCCATTTAGGCTTTTGGCCTTCCCCTATAAAACACCTCATTTTAATTAGAATGCTTAAGAAAAACGTATTGTTTTATACATATTAAAGTTTTGTTTTGAATATAGGTTGGAATTCTATAAAATGTTTATAAAGAGTATTTTAGATATTTCGTAGCAAAAGAAAATAAATTTTTTTATGAGAAGGAATTAATGATGGAATAAAGCAAAATGACTCACTAAACTGTCCGCGCTTCTTTGTTATGAAGCAACAGTCAGTCCATGCAATTTTGGACGGGATTTTCACTATGGGTCATCCGGAAACAGTCTCTCTGTGCTTTAGTACAGGGGTAAGACTGCGTACATCTGACCCCTCCTTACCCCACCGTAGGTGGGAGCCTTTGCGGCACTGGGGTAAATGAAAATGAAATGATGAAATTAATGATTTGTCGAAGTCCAGACAAACAAGAGTGAAAAGTTTAAAGTTCATGAATTATTTGTAGAATTTGACGATTTATGTTTAGGACAACTAATGGATATAAATTCTGAAATTTGTTGTTATAGGGACAAATGATTTGGCGGCTATCCCTTGCCTGATGTCTAAGGGCAGACATAATCACCAATCAAGAGTTAGTCACAAGAGTCGGGCGGGTTAACCGGAATCAAGAGGCTTACCCTTCTAGTGTTTTACTTTTCAAAATTGAGGTGATGCAGCAACATATTTTTGTTGGCTGTTGCCATTGCTGTTAACTACGTCATATAGAATAATATATCAAATCAACTCGTTTAGAAGTTTGAAGGAACTTTAGGAAGCTGCTAAAAAACTATGCTGCCTAAGCTGGATTATTATAGGCCAAAGGGAGAGCGTGGAAAATGCCTAACAGGCCGTGTAGCCCTAAGTCCCTAACCCCTTTGGCGTGGAGAGTGGAAAATACATCTTGTTCATAGTTATCAATAATATAGTAATGTAAAAGAACTATGTAGGTTTTGATGTATTGTATACCCCACTTATATTCAAGTGCAAGCCCATTTTTAAATGTTTCAATTAAGTATTTTTAATTGTACTCAATTAAGTTGTTTATAATAAAAAATCAAATTTTGAGTGTTTTCATAATGGTATCATTTGCGATTTTTTTGAAGGATAACAGAAAAATTCGATTAGAAACTATGCTGAGTAGACCTGAGAACTGGGCAGTTGGATAGGAGCGGGAGCTTTACCGGGATAAACCAATCCCAGCTATGGGTACCTTAAGCAATTAAACCTAGGACAGGACTGGGAACTGGTAGGTCATGGAATGGTCCGCCCACCCCTACTTTTGTGCGGTATCGACTTGTTAGTGACTACGTAGTATTATATTGGTTTTCAATTGTATCTAAAATACTCTGAAGACCTGTAGCGAGTATTATTTGAACTGTGTTAATTTCAAGGATTTCTCAAATATGAGTAAAGCATGGCCATTTAAATAGAAGTATCAACATTCCAACTTCCAAGTGCTTATACGTCAAATAAATAATTGAGTTCATGATTTTGTGATCATTTATAACGTATAGTTCATGATGTTTATTACATGCACAACTCTTATATTTCTCCAAACTTGAGGATGTTTGAATTAGTTTCCCCCTAAAAAAATGTGTTAGCTTTGTAACTTAAATACTTAATTGGATGAAGTGTTTTTGGTCGTAATTTTATTCAACAAAAATATTTTTAAATGTCATTTTGATTCTTGAATTTGTCTTTAGCGTAGTAAAGAGTGCGCTAACTTACATTGAAGCTCATAAAGTAGGGGTGGACTCGGGCTGGGTTAGGCTTAGACGGTTCCATTTTTCTGCAACACTTTGGCCTGGTAGTCTGGTACCGGCTCGGGTAAGCTCCGGGATCGAGCCGGGTCCAAACAGTACCAGGACGGGCTCAGGTCGGTACCACCCATTTACTTTTTTTTTTTTAAAAAAAATAGTGCAGTTATTGAGCCCGAAGACTAGGCATGGACTGGGCCCAGGCCGGGCTGGGGATTTGGGTTGAAGGCCCGGTACCGGCCCTGGTTTGAACCGGGATTGGGCCGGGTCAATTTTTTTTTCTAAAAAAACTAGTCTTTTCTAGTTTATTCTTACATCCTCCTCACCCCCACCCCCAAACCCCGCCAAAACACCTAGCCCAACCCATCTAGCAGCGGCCCAATGCCAAAAAACTAAAAAAATATATATTTTTGGTCTGGACCGGCTGGTCTGATCCACTGAAATAACGTCCCAAAGCCCGTCCCGTTTGACCCTTGTTTCGGGCCCCAAAGCCCGGTCCCTGTCGGCTGGTACCGCACAATAGTGGTCTGGGCCGGTCTGAACTGACCCAACTCATCCCTAGCCTGGGCCCCGGGTCAGGCTGGGTCAGCCCCTGGGCTCAGTCCATCCCTGTCATAAAGTACTACAACTTGTTTTAAAAGGAATAAAAACTAAAAAGTATATCGATTCTATTGGAGTTAAGAGAGCGACTTATTTTTGAGGAGTCATTATAGAACTTTCTTCAATTGTACATTTGTACATTAAATATTTTGAATTTAAGTTAGAAATAATGACACAAATCTTGCGAACTTTGGTGTATATTCTATGTCTACACCGAAAATGAAATTGATGTACTAAAATCACATTTTATAATAAAATGAAAATAATTTAATATTATCATAGTTTCTATACATACAACATCGTCAATACCTGATTGGCTGATACTTAGCATGGGAATGGGAATCCATCAACTTATTTAACTAGTAATTTTATTAAATATTTCGTAGTTCTTAACTTTACGTATTTGAACATATGTTCAATTGAAATATTACAAATCATGAACCCTTCTCAAATAAAAAGTTACATAATCATCAAATTTTCAAAATTCTCCATCAATACATCATGGATTCATGGATGTAACGTAATTCAATAATTTCATTGGAAACATATTTTAAAAAGATAAATTGAAGTACTCCGCCAAATAATGTGAATTCGTGTATTTTTTATTCAACGAGACAAATTCAAATATCAAATTGGCACTTGTCAAATTAGAAAGATAAAGAACATGTCTCTCTTCATCATCACCCCAGTTAGGCTTGTCAATGGGTCGGGTACGGGTCGGAACGTAGTGTTTCAGATCCGGACCCGCTAAGTTAGTAATGGATCCGGACTTGATCCGTTTACCCGACGCGTCTAAAAATGTGGACCCAGATCCAGATCCAATGGGTCTCGAAATCGGGTCGGGTAGACCCCGCCCGCCAAGTATGATACACACATCATTATAAACTTTGTGAAAATAACAAGACATGTATGTGAAATATAAACAAAGTGTACAAATTTTAAAGCAAAATATATATTCACTTTTCAAAAAAAATCAAGGTCTCATAGAAAATTAATAGTTTTATCTAATAAAATATCAGTTCTTGTACAGGCATATAGTTCCACACTTTGTGTTGCTTTCTCTCGCACAAAGAATAAAGTAGAAGTTAAGTCATAAAAGGTATCTTAGACTGCTAAGAGTATAAAATCATATATAGTATTATCTATGATAATGATATAATAATATTAATAATAATAGTAATAAATATTGTGCTTTTCCTACCGAGCCCAATACACACTTTATTAGTATGTATTTACGACCAAAATAGACATTAGTTTTAGGGTATCTTACTATCTCGATCAGTATCACTTAATGTCTATATTTTTATTGAAGAATCATAACTAATAAATTTATGTACTATGATGTATATAGGTATATTAGTTTCTATTTTATTCAGTGTTATAACTAATCACTTTATGTATTAATGTCTCTGTATACAAATAAGAAATTTTAAACGGGTCCGGGTCCTTAACGGGTCTGAATCATATGTACCATACCCGACCCGTTTATTTAAAATACTAATGGGCCCGGATTCAGGTAAACGGAATAAAATATAGACTCGTACCCTTAAAAAACAACCGGGTCCGGGCCGGGTCCAGGTCTAGACCTAACCCATTGACAGGCCTAACCCTAGTGCCGCAAATGCTCCCATCTAGTGTGGGGTAAGGGACATCGGATGTATGCGGTCTTACCCCCGCACTATAGCACAAATAGACTATTTCCGGATGACTCATAATAAAAATTAGGAAAGAACTAAGACGGGACCGGGTCGGGCTTCGGTACCGGTCCGGGTTTGTACCGGTACCGGGTCGGGCCGGGCCCAAATGATTTAATGGATTTTTTTTATCATTTGACCGTTGAGGCCCGGACCGATCTGGACTGGTCCACTAAAACATGGGCCCGAGCCCGCCCGCCTCTTCCATCGGGTCAGGTCCCCGGCTTGGTACCAATCCCGGACAACCGGGTTGGGCCTAAATAGTGTCATTTCGGGTCGGGCAACGGGTCAGGTATGCCCTTCTCAATCCATCCCTAGTGAAAATCACGCCGAAAAATTGCATGGATCAACTGATGTTTCATAATTAGTTGAACTATTTTGTTTTAATTTACTATATTTCCAAGTCAAAAGATACCGAGTCTTTGGTTCTATTACAAATGATGTAAGTAAAGTTAAAAAACATGTAGCAAGAGAAAATAACATCATGGGATGATGGGATCTAAAACTGAATGTTTTCGTCATTAATTAAGAGTCGGTTTGATGAGCCCGTTTTTCATCATATCAAGCTTATCGACCAACTTTTTCATCAAGCATAGGGATGGACTAAACCGGGCCGGCCCAGCCCGAAACCATCTCGAAACCGCTACTGTGCGGGCCCGGACCGGACCGGGACCGGTTGGCCGGTTCCGGGCTTTTAGCCTGTTTGGGCGGGTCGCTTCAGGCCGGGCCCGGGTCATATTTTTTTTTTCAATTTTTTTCTTTTCCTAGGGTAGGGTTGAGTGTTTTAGGGAGGTTTGGGGGTGGGGGTGAGGGGAGGGGGTCGAAGGATAACAAGAAAGCAAAAAAAAATAGACATTGAACCGAGCCCGACCCGGCCCGGTTAGGCCCGGGCCCGGTATCAACCCGGGCCGGTTCCGGGCCCAAGTATTTGCAAAAAAGCCCACCCGGCTCCGGCCCGGAACAGGAACCAGACCGGCCCGGAACCGGAACCGGACCGGCCCGGAACCGGAACCGGACCGGCCCGGGTCCATCCCTAATCAAGCACATAACTTTTGATTTCAGGCGCCGAATTGCGTAATAATAAGAAAAAGTAAGATTCGAGTTACTTTTCTGACTTTATTGACTGAAGTTACTATCGAAGATCATTTCAACTACTTTTTAATATAATTTTTTCATTATTTTATTAATAAAATATATTTTATATATAATTTTTTCACAAATCAGCAGAATCAAACATTACAACCACTTCAGCCAGAACTTCATAAAAATCAATAGATAGGGGTGGACCGGTTCGGGCCTGGGCCTGGCCGGGCCTCGGATCATGAAGGGGGAGGCCCGGAACCGGCCCGGGTAACCCCCGGGTCCGGGCCGGGCCTCGGTTCTATTTTTTTCGGCTTTTCCTAGTTAACCCCCAACCCTCCCCCTCACCCCAAACCAACCCTAACCACCTCAAATGGCCCAAAATATCCAGACCAACTAGGGATGGACCGGGCCGGTCCAGTTCCGGTTCTGGGCCGGGCCCGGGTGGGCTTTTTTGCAAAATGTTGGGCCCGGAACCGGCCCGGGTTGATACCGGGTCCGGGCCTAATCGGGCCGGGCCGGGCCCGGGTCAAGTTCAATTTTTTTTTGGTTTCTAATTAACACCCGACCCCCCCCCCCCTTCACCCCCAAAACACCCAACCCTAACCTAGAAAAGCAAAAAAAATTGAAAAAAACAAATTGAACCGGGCCTGGCCCGAACCGCCCGCGCCGGTTCACCAAAAGTTGGGCCCGATCCCGGTCCGCCCGACCCGCCCAAACGGGCTAAAAGCCCGGAACCGGCCAACCAGTCATGGTCCAGTCCGGGCCCAAACAGTAACGGGCCGGGCCAGTTCCGGGTCAGGCCGGTTCCGGGTCAGGCCGGTTCCGGGTTAGGCCGGCCCGGTTTAGTCCATCCCTAAGCCCAGCCCAAAAACTTAAAAAAAATTCAAAAAAAATAATAATAAATTGGCCCGGGCCCGGGCCCGAACCGGCCGCGCCGGTTCAGCTTTTGAAGGACCCGAGCCCGAAACGCCATCCCACCGGGCTGGGTGGCCCGAACCGGGCAACCAACCGGTTCACCGAGCCGGTCCGCGCCCGCACAGTAGCGGGCCGGTCCGGTTCCAGGCCGGTTGGCCCGACCCGAGTCCATTCCTATCAATAGAAATAGCCGATTCAACCAATTTCAATGTTACCAAACGGGTTCTAAATTAAACTACCAGCTACTTGGTAAGTTTGATACACAACACAACGTATGACTAGGGGTGGATTCGGTTTGGGCCACCCGGCCCGCTACTGTGCGGGCCCGGGACCGGTCCGGTCTGGCGGTCCGGGACTGGGTGTAGACCCGAACCGGTGGGGATGGGCGGGGCGCGCTATTTTAATTTTCATTGTTAGTAAAAAAAA